CAGTTTTGTATGCACAATCAAGCCTGAGCGGCACTATAATCCGTCGCACAGGAGTAAACCTTCGATTTCTTCTGCAGCAGACAGCGAATTTATCCCTGTAGCGGTCTTACACGATCAGCCCTGTTGATAATAAAGTCACGTGACCAATGTTTGATGACGTAGTTATCTGGGATTCCCCTTTTCTGCTCTGTGTTATTTTTAGAAACAAAACCTCGACAACTCTTGTTTTGGTCATCTGAGCATGTGACACTGAACCCATTGAGTGCAAAAGAGAAAAATACTGTTATAAAAGACGGGCACGATGAGAAAAAAATTATAAAGCCGTCACCGCTGAAAGTTGTACTGAAACTAGATCTTGATGCGCTTGATACAAGTAATACGTCGAGTTCCCCGAACCAAGGTACGCCAGTACACTAGGCCTACTTCCGTACTTGGCGGTACGGATTATTATTTTATTCAGTCCTTTAAAAAAATTGATCGCTGATTTTCGTCAGTCACAATCGTTCTGTCACGCATAAATGAGACAAAGTGCGAATAATGTTGTTTGCTGAATATTCTAAAGCGCTTAAAAAACATTAATCGTTTCCTCAACCTGAAGGGGGACCCCGCGATTTATCAGGGGAAGTAACTAATTCTAACATCAACTCTGTGGATACATGAAGGTTGTTGCTTCCCTTGCACGCATTTTCAATTTTAATTGACGTCGCAACCAAGACCACCTAGGCTAACTATTCTTTACTCTTCAGTCACCACCTGGGGCGGTGCCACAGACTGAAGTTTCATTAGGCCATTCCCTAAGGGGGGACATTTCTCGTTCAAGCATAGTAGAATTGTAAATGGGCTGATTCATGTCACACTCATAACTGTGCCTGATCTACAACACGGAACTGCTGCTTTTTCTTTCCTGATCCTTACTATTGTCATTTTCCTCTACTTCTTTTGTATGTTTGTCACTCCCTTGTGACCTGCTATTTTGGGGTGCCTTGATAGTCCAAGCAGACCTTGTGCTGTTGAAGTTAGAGAGGTGAGCAGTCTAAGTCTGATTCCCTGTAAAGACTTCTCTGTTGACACCCACCCCTTGGCGCTCGTATGACCTTATGCAGTTGTGAGCGCCGTAAAACCCTCTATTATAAAAATTTTAAAAATGTTTAATACCTCTTCAGTCTTGGGTTGCAATAATTTGATATATGCACATGTAGGACCAATTATCTTTGTTTGTCTATGTGTCCAGAGGTGGACTAGCCATTGGTCATTTAGGCAGTACCAGGGGGGGGGGGGGCGGTGCCGCTGGGATAACGTGGGCGCTTGGTTACACAAGAAAATGTCACCAACAACAACCATTGCATCTGTCAGATCGTTTGGGTTTTTTTTTTCAAAATGTCAAGTTGAGTGCTATTTTTTGTCGTTTGTTATTCTTTGCATGATAATGAATGTTAAACAAATCTGCTCGAAATTCTGAGAAACGTTTACGTCTTCAGAAATATCGGGTGTACATTTTCTTGACTGAGGTCATGCCGCACAGTAAGCTAAATGTCTTATAGATGGCATCACGATGAGTACAAACAGAGACAAAAGCTGATGAACAGAGCTGTGGGTGTCGACAAATTCAATGAATGGTAGGAGGGGGTGGGGGGCTGAAGTACAGAGAAACTGCTAGAGAGACGATGGGGTTTAGAAGCGTGCGTGTTGAGAAGTGGCAAACAGACTGGCACAGATCTGACTTGGTCCCCTCCAGCTTATCTTTTGCCTACATAATAAACTTTCCTGTTTTGTTTTGAGAAACTTCGAGATCGCCACGAAGGGGTCTGCATATTTCGATAGCAACCTCTCTAAGAGATCCTGCCGTACAGTTTGCAGATACATGTACTGTACATGGTATACTGTATTGATGGAAAATATTGTGTACAATACACTTGTATTTGTTTGTTTTTGTTTTAGTAGAGGTTTTTACGGCGCTCGCAACTGCATAAGAAGGTCATATGAGCGCCAGAAGATTAGAGGTGTTACAAGAGAGTAACAAACATAAAAACGAAGGAGAGGAGATAAGGACGATAGATGTTTGATAGGAAAGTCGAAGAAGGAAACCACACCAGAGCACCCGCCAACCACCCACACACTTGTGTGGTGAGAGTACAGTCAAACTTTAGGGGACTCAATGCAACTTTTCCCCTAAGCCTTAATGGTTGCCAGGGTATTGTGAGCAGCTGATAATATGGTGACATGGCATTAAGGCTGATTATAACTTTTTTGAAAAGCGCATCGATTGAATGCTAAATGAACCGACAATCTTCAAGGCGGCATCTTTTGACCAAAATGTAGTTGTCCCCCCCCCCCCCCCCTCCCTCATTCCCCGTAATTCTCAACCGTTTCATAGCTGTAGAGTGTCTACTCCAGATGCTCTTATAATCATACGTTGATTAAGTTCCCGGAAGAATACTGCGATGTCATTCATTAGTGAGATAGTGATGCGCTGGGTCACCACAACACTTTATAGCTTCTGTCGCAACTTACGATGCGCTGACACATCTTATCGGGAATAACCGAAGTAATGGAACTCGCTGTAGTTTTACTTTAGACAGCAGTCACCAATGAGCCTCGACCTTACGAACTCTTTGTCTTCTCATGTCGTGTTTTGAGTACGTGAGAGAGGCGATCGGCTGTCCATGGGTCCTATTTAGTACTTACGAAGTAACTCAACATGTCCCACGAAAGTACCCTGGCCGATCTCCCCATTGTCAGGAGTGTAATTTGTCCCTTCATTACTTTTTCTGTAATTCAGGCCCCTCTTACCACTGAATTATATTATATTGTAAACGCCCACAGCTCTGTTCATCAGGTTTCGTCTCTTGCTTGGACTCATCATGGACATTTCGCTTACGTCCTTCTCCGATAGGACCGAGCCAAACAGGATGAGAGCCTTGAAAACTCTACAAAATGATCCGAGCTCAAGAACGCCCAGTCCGGGATTAGAACCCAGGCCATCCATTGTGTAGTCCAGCAGGATACCAACTGAGCTAACAGAGCGCCCTGATTTGAGATTGAGTACAGAAAAGCATATCAATAAAACACCTGCCATTTTACAGAAACAACAGACGGAGAGAAGAGAAGGACTCACAAGCAGTCCCATCCACATAGATTTAAGACTGAGTAAATGGACGCATATTGGCACAATTATGTAATGACCATTGAGTTGTTTTGTTGTTCTTTTCCTCTGCAATTTTGTGTCGTTAAGCCCCATATATCGACTTACTTACTTTACTTTTTTCTTCCGCTTGTACCCTGGGGTGTCGCGGGGAGACACATGTGTCTGTCTGCAGAAAGTCGTGTGGCCTGTAGGAGGGACATCCCATGATCTTTAAGGGTGTCTGCCACAGATTCACTCCATCTTCGCCTTGGTCTTCCTCTGGCTCTCCATCCAGAATATTTAGTGTTGTATGCTCTCAGAGCTGGATTGTTAGAGGGCATCCGCGTGAGGTGTCCGAACCACTTGACCTTTTGTTTTTCAATGTGTGGTAGGACTGGTGTTGCTCCCACGGTGTCCCTTATGACTTCATTTTTAATTTTGTTTCTTCTTGTTTTGTTGAACGCTCTTCTTAAGCATTTAATTTCATCTCGCTTGTGACCAGTTTCCTCTCTAGGGCTTTTGTTAGAGTCCATGTCTGGCACTGATATGTGAGCGTTGGAAGGAAAATGGCGTTGATGAGCTTCGCCTTGGTGCTCATGGGGATATTGGGATGTTTCAGGAGAGGGCCCAGTTGGTAGCTGACTGCGTTGGCTCTCTGGCATCTAGTCTCTATCTCTCGATCTAATTTTCCATTTTCTGTGAAAATGCTGCCCAAGTATTTGAATTCTCTGCTTTGTTTTAGTTGGGATCCATTGATGTTTATATCCACTTTGCCTGGTCTCCTGCTAATTGTCATGACTTCGGTCTTGCTTATACTGATCTTCATGTCATATTTTTCGCAGCTCGCATTTAGTTGGTTTATATGCTCCTGTAGCTGAGTCTTGTTGTTAATCATTGCCAGGTCGTCTGCAAACATGTGTTCGTTGAGTGCCTCTGGGTCTGGATTGGCCTCTTTTGTTATCTGGTCCATGTAGATCACGAAGAGCAGAGGGGAGAGATTGCAGCTCTGTCTCACTCCGGATGTTACTGGAAACCAGTCCGATGTTCCACTGATAGTTCGGACAGCGCTTCTGCTGTTGGCATAGATAGCCCTGATGTTGTCTGTTGTCTAGCAGTTGTCCCTTGATGTCGTACTGCTCTAAGATCTTCCATAGCTTGTTTCTATTTACTCGATCAAAGGCTTTTTCTTGATCCACAAATACGAGGTGGAGATCTTTGTCGTATTCCAAAGCCCTCTCACACAGTTGTCGGAGGGCGAAGATTGCATCAGTGCACCCTCTTCCTTTTCTAAAACCAAATTGGGCGTCACTGAGAAGATGTTCGGTTTTTACGCGAGTACGTCGCTCTAGGATTTTTGCATACATTTTCCCCGCATGGCTGAGAAGACATATGCCTCTATAGGTGTTGCAGTCTTTCTTGCTGCCCTTTTTCTTCCATATTGGCACCACTATCGCATTTTGCCAGTCTGCTGGTACTTTTCTTTCTTTCCATGCTTTTTGAAAGATGATTGTAAGCCAATGTATCCCGCTTTCGCCGCATGCAAGGATGGCTTCGGTTGTGACGTCATCGTCTCCAGCTGCCATGTTCTTGTGACTAGTCTTCAGTGCTTCTCTCACTTCACTCTCCAGGATGGTAGATTCTGAGTGCTCAGGGTAGTTGGCGGTGAAGGGGCACTGTGTGTTTTGTGCCTGTACTCCTGTTGGGTTTAGTAGTTCTTGAAAATATTCTTCCCATCTTTTTATTATTTCTTTCTCTTCGTGCAGAGCTTCTCCATTGGTATTGTTGATGACAGTGGTGGGTACATAGGGTTCGTCTCTCGTTCTCATTGTCTTCACCTTCTTGTAGAACTCTCTTGGTGAGGTCTTGCAGGTTTCACTTAGTTTTTCGCCATACTGGGTCCATGACTTTTCTTTGATGTTATAACGACTTTCTTACTGTGTCTTCTTGCAAGTCTATATTTAATGTAGTCCTCTTCGTTTTTTGACCTGATCCATACATTATACAGTCTCTTTTTTTCCTTGATAGCATCTTTAACTTCTTCGTTCCACCAGGCTGTTGCTTTTCTGTGTTTTCCTCTTGTTTTCTTGGTACCACAGACTTCTTTCATTGTGTCCAGGAGAGTTGTTTTGAAGGTATCCCAAGCTTCCTCTACGGTTAGTATTGTAGAGTTGATAGAGCCTAGTTTTTCATTTAACGTGCTTCTGATCTGAGCCTGCACCTGATCATCTCCAAGTTTATGCATATTTAGTCTCTCGTGCTGTCTTTTATGTTTTTTTGGTTTTCTTTCTTTCTTGGTGGTCAACGTTGTGATGACTGGCCTGTGGTCTGTGTCCAGGCCTGCATTGGGGATGGCTCTTGAGTCTGTGATTGTGATCCGCATTCGTGTTCTCGTTAATATGAAGTCGATCTGTGATGAGACCATGATGTTGTTCCATCTATACCAGGTGTAGATCTGAGAGGCTCTGTGCTGGAAGAAGGTGTTGGTGATGAATAAGTCGTGCTCTACACACAGTTCCAGTACATGGTTGCCGTTATAATTGCATGGTGTTCTGTGGTCACTGTGTCGACCAAGGTGTTTTGTCCACGGTGTTCTTCTCTCTCCGACTCTTCCATTGAAGTCTCCCATTACATAAAGGTCTTCCTCGTCTGGGATGTTGCTAATTAAGTCCGAGAGTTGTCCGAAGAAAGAGTCCTTTTCTTCGTCTGAGTAGGAGTCGTTGCACGGTGCATACACCTGAATGTAGTTTGTGGTCTTTTTGCCCTCTCTAATGCTGATTTTGATGAGTCTTTCAGAAACGAAGTCCGTATTCAATATTTCCTTTGCTTTGTCAGGGTGTATGATGAAACTCACACCGTGTTCAGCTCTTTGTTCTTTTCTTACCCCACTCCAAATGAGGACAAAGTTAGAGTGGATCTCTTTTGTGCCTGTCCCTTTCTTCCTGATGTCTGTAATGCCCATGATGGAGATCTTGTTCTGGGTCATGAACTCCACTATCTCAGGTTCTTTATTTGTCAAGCTGCAAATGTTCCAGGTCCCTATTTTTTCATTTTTTCTTGATCGTTGTCCATTTTTCTCGCCAGGTCGTTTTCTGTTTTGATCAGTCCGTTTGTGTCTCCTTATGTTTTCTTGAGCAATATTAAAATCCACTGCCGGCCTGCTAAGCCAGTCGCAGTTTCACCAGAGCCCCGTTGGCCAGCAACGTTTCGGGGTGACCCGGGTCGGCCTTCACGGCTAGCGTAACGCCTCAGTGACATAAAGTCACACCGTACTTCACCCAGACCCAGCTATCCCCTACTTTGTCCTGTTTCCATCTCCCACGGCGTGGACGAGGGGTTGGACTTCCATATATCGACACGATATGTAATATGGCCATTTAGTTATTTTGAGGTGGTTTGGTTTTTAAAAAAATGTGTTTCACTGAGTTTAAGCACCTGTATCGATACCCCAATTTGATGTCGTTGAGCCCCTCTATCGACTCAATATATAATAGCCATTCAGTTCAGTGGCGGGGCGCCATTGGTGCAATTGATGCAAGCGCTCCACCAAACCCTGGCCTTCACCCCCCCCCCCTTTTCTAATTGTTTTAAACCAGTCAGTGCTCTAGCCTAGGCTAGATCTACATCCTTGCGATCCGTCACCCGCTGGCTGCGCCAGTGAAGAGACAGACGGCGAGGATGGTTTATGCTCGTCGCACCCCTTGCGGTAGTGTCTGCTGGGAGCAAGCAAAATCTTTGCACCTAAGTTATTTTTGTCACTGTAGAGAAATCTAGGCATCGTTCGTCCCTCACAAGAAGAAAGCTGCATGAAACTGTTCTTCGCTGCACCAATTTGGTGCAAGCTAAATATTTGATCCAAATTTCCGCGAGCCTATCTAGCCTACTAGACTCTATCAACGCCTCTACGGTAACTCAATGAAGAATGGGTATCGAAACTGTTGTCTCCCTCTATTGTGTATTAAGTCCTGGTGCTGCACGAAGTTATTAGAATTAAATCTTCTCATATTGTGAGCATAGTGAGTTGTAGATCTAAGTATCGCTTCACTTTATTGAAGCTTTTATGCGGTTTCATCTAGAAACAATTGTAAATATCAATAGATGAAGATTATGGGATATCCCCGCAGATTCTAATTGACTTTCTCTAGAAATCTTAATAGTAGCTACTAATACTAAGCCTATTGCCCATTTAGATCTAGCTCACTTTCCAATTATGCACCACCTTGTCTGCAATCCACGCGACGCCACTGATTCAGTTGTTTTGTTGCCCCCCCCCCCCCTGCAATTTGGTGTCGTTAAGCCCCAGGGAGACTGGTAAGAGTATCGTGGAAGGAAAAGAAATCAAATGAGGTAGTGCTTGATGAAGCCCACGTGGGACGTTCAATTTTAAAAACAATCAGGAAAAGACAAATGCAGTTTTTGAGACACCTGAATAGACATAAGGGTCTTGAACATCTAGCTCTCACTGGCAAAATTGAGGGCAAGCGAGGCAGGGGTAGGCCCAGAACAACATACTTAGGGAACCTAAACAAATGGGTAACAGGAAAAGATCAAGGAAACGTAGCTTTTTTGAGAGCATCCGAGCAAAGGAATGAATGGAAAACCATGATCGCCGATGTCTGTCGCAGATCTGGCACTGGACGATGATGAAGCCCGAAGCCCTTACTTATATCGACACAATATGTAATGGGGCCATTTAGTTATTTTGTGGGGGTTTGTTTTTTTTCTTCCAATTTGGTGTCTTAGAGCCCCAATATCCAATGACCATTTAGTTGTTTTGTGGGGTTTGTTTTTTTCAATGTGGAGTGTTTACGCCCACATCAACACAATATGTGAGGCAGCGCGGTGGAATCAGGCTCTCGTCAAAATAATCAAAGTGAAGAAACTTGCATTTTTCCGCAGGTTTGTGAATTTTTAGCAAATTTTTGTTTTTTGGCCCAACACCTTTCATGTCCATTAAAGAACTCATTTCTGTGTGGATTTTCCCGAAAAGCGTTGATTAAAGGCACAAAAATGTAAAATTTCAGTTACCACGGACTCTTGTCTTAAGCTAAGGAAATAACTAATCTTTGGTGACCATTTTCTCACTAATTTTACCTCTGAAAACAGGTGACCCCCACCTCCTTCTTTCGCAAATATCTCGACTTGTATTCAAGATAAATGGATATTTTTTTCATCCAAATAAAGACAAGTGAATATAAGCTTTACGATGATACCAATAACTCTACATGCCCCAAAATTGACGAGAGCCTGATTCCACCACGCTGCCTCACGAGTCACATATAGGTTATTTAGGAGGCGGGCCTCCCACCCTGTCAGTGTCACGGCCAACGCAGGCTGGAGGATACAACACCCCTGGAGAAAGTCCGAGATACTCGATGGAAATTTCTCTCCACTCGGGTCTTCTGCGTGCGACAGCAGAGCGCCAAACCACTAAACCACAGACACCGGTGTTTGGTTATAGTAAGAGTTTTATGGTAGGGCCTACTTGCAACACACATAAGTCAAATACGTGCTGAATACTAGAAGTGTTACTAAAGAGGCACAGTAACATACAAAGAAAAAAAGGAGGAGAGATAAGGACGATAGATGCTTGATAGCCAAATTGATTTTTCTTGGTTTTTGTAGAAGTTTTACGGCGCTCGCAACTGCACAAGGTCATATGAGCGCCAGAAGATTAGAGGTGTTACAAGAGAGTAACAAACATAAAAAAGAAGGGGAGATAAGGATGACAGATGTTTCATAGGAAAGAAGAAGCAAACCACACCAGAGCACCCGCCAAACACCCACTCTTTAATTAACAACATGAACATGTGGGAAACAAGCAAAACACAGACAATATGGTAGTTAGTAATCAAACATTAGTTCCAGTTTATTGAAACATTCCTTGTAGTTAGTAATAAAACATTAGTTCTAGTTTATTGAAGCATTCCTTCCTTATGAAATAGACCTCTTTATTAGTAGTCAATGTCACTATTAGAGGTAGAAAATAAATAAGTACTCTTCTTTATTCTTGAAAAAAAAATCTTGGACAAAAAAATAGAAAGAAAAAATTGATTTTCAAAGAAAAGAAAAAATAAAGGAAAGAAACGGAAACCATAAAAAAAATTACATCAATCCATTTAGACCTAGTCAGATTGGTCTTGTTTTTTGACATTTCAGTAAGGTCAAAGTGTGTAAACATAGCAAACTGACATACTCCACAGACAATATTATACGTATGTAGCAAACAGACATACTCCACAGACAATATTATATGTATGTATCGTACATGTTTTTACGCCCCTATCAACACTATGTAGATCATTTACGAGGTATAGGCTTCCGACCCTGCCCACCCGCTACACCACAGAGTCAGTAAACCAAATGTAACACCCAGTGACCATAGACACCATTGGTTTGGTTCGGTTTGGTAGGCGGAGCTAGCCAGACAGAGGGTGCAAAACGACAATCATGGCACAAACCGACCACCCGTTTCTTTTCAAGGCCGCGAGTTATGCCATCGGTTTGTATTAGAAATCCGATCTGCCAATGGGCACTGAGTGTAAGAGTAAGGCAGGGAGCACCAATCAAACGCCTCCTGAAATAGCACTTTACATGATATACCCAGTTGGACCAAAAAATGTTAATGGGAGGTGCATAGTTTTTAGTTTTAGTAAGAGTTTTGCAGCACTTACAACACAATCAGGTCAAAAAATGCCGAAAAGGTTTTACAACAGTTTGGCATGTATTCAAACAAAAGTAGGAGGAGTTTGATACGAAAGAATGAGCTTAAATGACACCAGAGCACCTGCCAACCAACCATAGAAGGAGCATTTTATGTTGTCTGTTCTGAGATGTTTGGCAAATACAGACAGGAGGTATATTCTTGATTCACCCATGGTAGTCAACTATATTTTTCAAAAAAGAAAATAATAACAAAAATAAAAATAATAGTAATACGGCATTTATAAAGTGCTATCTTTCAATAAAGATAATAATAATAATAAAAATAATAATAATATATGGCATTTATATAGTGCTCACCCCCTGTTAAAGTACACACGATCTGAGTGCTTTATGAATACGACAGTAAAACATAAAACTATATTTTTCAATAAAGATAATAATAAAAATAATAGTAATATAATATATATGGCATTAATATTGTGCTAACCCCCTGTTAAAGTACACAAGATCTGAGTGCTTTAAGAATACGACGGTAAAACATAAACCGTACATTGTGTTCTGACTAAAAATCTATCTCTACATAATATAATAAACCTCTTTTCTCTAAAAACAGAAATGACTAGCTGACATTTGAATGTATAAAAAGGTTTGTTCTCCCCTAAACTACTGATTCCAGGTCTTGGGACCATGATATAATACATGTACTAAATAAATTCCCTTTCACCTATTGTCCTGAGTTAGACAGAGATGGTAAAGGAAATAATTTCTTAGTTTTAGTCATCCACAAATTGCAACTGGTTGGTCACCTGTAGCGGAGACAACTTTAATTGAAATCTGAGGTACTGCTGAATTTTTGTTAACGTTTCAACGTGTATTTGGTTTGGACTGATTGCTCAAACGAGGCAATTGACACCGAAAAAATTGGGGATTCCCGATTGCCAATTCCGGAATATTTCTGGAAAAATGGGGTAAGTTGGCGAGCCTGCTGTAGCATATGATGAAAGTTATTCAGAGGCAAGTGTGCTGTAATGTTGCTTTCAGTACAGCTCGTTTGATTGTAATTCTCCGCATACAGATAAGAGAGAGACAAGTTCCTCTCAACCAGTAGAAAGCTAGCTGGGGTCAGAGTTCACCTGAAGGTCCCCACGGTCTCACAAATCGCTACATGTACCCTAGAATTACAAAGTTCTATCTGCTCAGTACTTTCTAATTTATAGTTTTGAGAAATTTGACGTAAAAAATGTTGAGTTCAACAACACGTCAATCTTTCGCAAATGCAGATCTTCAAAAATCTTGACCGTCATTCCGAAAAATCTTATG